CGGACACGTGGGTGGTCGCTGCAGTGGGTGCGTGGGAGAGGACACTGCTTGTGGCTGTGGCCGAGGCGGTCTCCTGGGAGGAGCTAGGGACTCGCAAGGCGGGGGTCAGGGGCCACGTTGGCTGTGTTTGGATTTGTGTCGCCTGAGAGACGTGCGCGGGTGACGTGGAGGGCGTGGAATCTTCCCCGGTGGAGGCGATGACCGTGGGAGACGTGGCCTTGGCCAGGGTCTCTGAGCCCGCTGGGAAAGGGGACTGGGATGCGCGTCCCGCACTGGCGGTCCCCCTGGGGGTGGCGACTGTGTGCGTGGAAGGCCGCACGGCTTCCGCGCGGGCCGTGCTGCCGTCCCTGGCCGGGAGCTGACGGGAGGAGCTGCCCAAGTTTGGGCGTGCACTGGTGCCACGTGGCGGGCTGGTGCCCCAGCTGTCTGGGGTGGGCAGCGGCGAGGCAGAGGTGAAGAGTGAAGTCACGGGAGGAGGCGAGGGGGGGATGCTGTCTCCCAAGGTGGAGGCCACGGGGGAAGGTGAGGTCCTGGCAGCCGCAGGCCGCGGGGTGGGAGCAGGGCTGGTTTGTGCCACGGGGCCGGGGCCGGTCCGGGACGCGGTCTCCGGAGCCCAGCTGACGAGAGTGCTGGTCGGCGAGTGTGGAAATCGCTGAGACCCGGTCAGGGGAGTCCCTCCCCGGGGGGATGTGGCTGCCGTGTCCGAGGCCAGGGCCCCCGGCGACGTGGACCCGGGGGCGCCCCTTGGGGTGGCGGCGGTCCCCGGTGCAGATGCCGTCATGGGAGGGGCGGTCAAGGGCTGGGTGGTCATTGGTGCTCCCACGCGAGGCGACGCGGTGGACCTCTCCTGGCCTGAGGGGGACGTGGTGGCGGAGGAGACGGCTGCCGGCGCGGGGACCTCAGAGGTGGCCCGCCCGGGCCCAGCAGAACGGAGAGTGCTTGTCTGGGTGGCTGAGCGGGCGTCCTGCGAGGGGCTGGTCCCCCTCCGCGCCGAGGCCAGGGGAGACGCGGGCTCTGTTGGAACGCGTCCGGTCCCAGGGCTTTGGCCAGCTGCGGTGGAAGGAGTGGAATCGTCCCCGGTGGAGATGGCGGCCGCTGGGGAGGTGACCCCGGATGTCTCCCGGTCCCCTGGGCCGGAGGACGGGGACCCACGTCCCGAGCTCGGGGTCCTGGCGTGGGTGGCCGCGGCGCGTGGGGAGGGAGGCCCTGCACTTGCACGTGCCGGCGCTTCAGGCGTGGCCCGCAAGTCCTGCGTGGATCCGCTGAAATTCGGAGGTGAGCTGGCTGCGGGGGTGTGGCTCGCCCCCAGCGTGTGCAAGGCTGTGGCCAGGCCAGAGGTGGGAAGGGAGGTGACGGCGGGAGCAGAGGAGGGGGCCCCGTCTGGGAATGTGGGGGAGGCAGGCGAAGGAGAGGGGATGGCAGGCCAGGACAGCAGGGCCGAGGCAGGGCTGG